CCATAGGAAAGCAGGGAAATGAAAACAGAAAGAAGACAAATAGTGAACTTAAGTATCAATAAATCAATAATTACATTAAGGGTAAATGGTCTAAATATATCAAGCAAAAGACAGAGATTAGCAGAGTGAATTAAAAATTACAATCCAACTGTATGTTGTTACAAGCAACTTACTTCATATCTAATGATACAGACAGGTGGAAAAGTAAAAAGAATAGGAAACATTTACCATTTAAACACTAATCAAAGGAAAGCCAAAGTACTGTACAAATAGCAGGTAAAGTGGACTTCAGCACAAGAAAATAACCAGAGACAGCGAAGATATTATATAATGATAAAAGGGCCAATCCACCAAGAATATACATCAATCCTAAATGTGTATGCACCAAGCATTAGAACTATAATATATGTAACAAAAATTTAAAGAACCAAAAAGAAATACACAAATCCACAATTATAGTTGAGATTCTAAAAGACTGCTCTTAACAACTGACTAAACAACTAGATAGAAAACCATCAAAGATATAGAAAAAGTCAAAAACACCATCAACCAACAGGATCTAATCAACCCAACAACAGCAAAATACACACTGTTTTCAAGTGCCCACAAAACATATACTGTATAAACCACATGCTAAGACCTAAAGGAACCTCAAAAAATTTATAATTGAAATCATAGTGTTTCTGACCACAATAGAATCATTGAAATTAATAATTTAATTTGAAATTAGTAATTTTCAAATACTTGAAATTAGTAACAGAGAGACAGCAGAGAAATGCCAAACTTTGAAACTAAACAACATACTACTAAATAACCCTGAGGTCAAGAAGAAAGTCTCAAGGTAAATTAAGAAAACAACTAAATGACAACATAAAATATCAAAATTTGTAGGACACAGTCAAAACCACGCTCAGAAAAATTTATAGCACCAAATGCATCCACCTAAAAAGAGTGAAAGTTTCAAACCACTCATCATCCACCTTAAAAACTGAGAAAAACAGCAAAATAACCCAAAGCAAAAACAAGTAAATAATAAAAAGCAGAAATAACTGAAATTGAAAAGAGAAAAAAGAAAATGAAATGAAGAATTGATCCTTTGAAAAGGTCAATAAAATTGACAAACTGCTACTAAAACTAAAAAATAAAAAAGGAAAGATGACACAAATTACCAGTACCAGAAATGGAATAGGGGGTGGTATCACTACAGAGGCTACAGACATCAAGAGATAATAGGGAAATGCTATGAACAACTCTACACACATTAATTTGACAACTTAGACAAAATGTGCCACTTCTGGGTGGGGCGACTACAACAATTCATCCAATTTAAGAGGCATAATTTGAGGGGCGCCTGGGTGGCTCAGTGGGTTAAGCCTCTGCCTTCAGCTCAGGTCATGATCTCAGGGTCCTGGGATTGAGCCCCGCATCAGGCTCTCTGCTCGGCAGGGAGCCTGCTTCCTCCTCTCTCTCTGCCTGCTTGTGATCTCTCTCTCTCTGTGTCAAATAAATAAATAAAATCTTTAAAAAAAAAAAATTTGAATAACCCTATAATTATTAAGGAGACTGAATTCATGACTTTAAAACTATGAAAAAAGAAATCTCTAGACCCAGATGGTCTCAGTAAAGAATTCTACCAAACATCTAAAGAATCAATGTCACTCTATACAGTCTCTTCCAGAAAACAGGAGAGAATACTTTCCAATTCATTTTATAAAGCTAGTATCATCTGGACATCAAAACAGGACAAGGCAGTCCCCCTAAAAAGAAAATTATGGAACAATATTCTTTATGGATACACAGAAAAATTCCTTAACAAAATATTAATAGAATTTACCAATACATAAAAATAATTCTACCTTATGACCAAGTGGAGTTCCAGGGATGGAAAGCCAACTCAATTTTTGAAAAAACAAGCTATGGAAATCTGCCACCATATCAACAAGCTAATGAAGAATATCATTTATCAAATGATACAGAAAAAACATTTGCAAAATCCAATACCCATTCATCATTTAAAAAAAACAAAAAAAAACCTCTCAGCAAAGTACGACTAGAGGGAAATTTCCTCAAATTGATAAATGACATCTACAAAAAACCTACAGCTAACAACTATCATACAACTACTTAACAGTGGAAGACTAAGCACTTTATCTGTAAGATAAAAATGTCTACTTCTACTACTCATCTTCAACACTATTCTGGATGGTCTGGTTACTGTGATGATAAGTAAAGGAAATAAAAGACATACAGATTAGGAAGGAAAAACATCCTATTTACAATGACATGACTGTCTATAGAGAAAGTCCCAAGACATCTACCAAAAAATCTCCTACAACTAAAGAGGTTCAACGATGTCACAAGATAAACATACAAAAATTGATTTATTTCTATATAATAACAACATATTGACACCAAAACGGGAAATTTACAATCACTCCAAAAAAAAAAAAGAAAAAAATGAAATACTCAGGTATAATTCTAACAAAACAGATACAATACTGGTGAGTAAAATTAAAATTTAAGTAAATGGAGACCTATATCATGTTAATGGACTAGAAAACTCAAGACAGTAAACATGTCAATTCTCCCCAAGCTGATAAATGGATAATACAATTCCTATAAAATTCCCAGCAAGATTTTTTTGTAGCTATAGATAAATTAAAACTTATACAGAAAAGCAAAGGAATGAGAATAGTTAAAACAGTTTTGAAAAAGAAAAATGGGAATAATTATTTTACCCAATTTCGAGACTTATTAGGCAAAGAAAATGAATTCCAATCTTAGTCTCACACTGTGCAAAAAGGACTTAAGTCAGCATGTCAAGGTTTTCAATATCCTGCATATTACAAAAAAGCTTTGGCCCTTATCTTCGGCTCCTGAGAGGTAACCTCTAAACCCTTGGAATACCCTGCCTAATAAGACTGTCTTTGTTTACTTGGGGACCCTGAGTTAGTTCATATAGTCTACGATAATAATGTGATTTATGATGGGTGCTTTGAAACACTGTGTTACAAGCTTGACTTCTCAAAGGCTAGTGACTAACGTCATCCACACAAGGATGTGTGACAAGGAGTCAATCATGCCAACATAACCAACCCACAATAAAAATCCTGGACACCAAGGCTTAGGTGATTTTGCCTGGTTAGCAGCACTTACGTGCTCTCACAAATCACCGTTGGGAGAATGAAACACTATCTACACAACTCCACTGGGAGAGGACAAATGGTTGGGCCTAGTGTCTCCTAGACCCCGCCCTTTGCTTCTTTTTCTATTGCTGATTTAACTCTGTATCCTTCAGCTGTAACAAACCATAATCATTAGCATGACAGCTTCTCTGAGTTCTGGAATTCTTTCCAGCAAATCACTGAGCTGAAGAGTGGTCTTGGGAACACCAAACACACTTGTTTTATAATAAATTAACTCAAAAATGGATCACAGAATTAAATAGAAAACAAAAAATGATAAAACTTCAAGGCAAAAAAAGAGAAAAATCTTCAAGATCTGGGACTATGCAGGGTTCATAGACTTGACCCCAAAAGCACAATCCATATATACACTTCTAAAATTATAACTATTCATCAAACTATTCATTTTAAAACTTTTGTTCTGCAAAAGACACTGTTAGAGGATGAAATGACAAGCTACAGAATGGAAGAATATATTTGCAAATCATACAGCGAACAAAGGATTAGTGTCTAAAATATAGAAAGAACTCTAAAAGCTCAACAGTAAAAAAATAATAATCTGATTATAACAGAGGCAAAAGACATGAAGAAACATTTCACTGAAGAGGACAGATGGAAAGCAAACATATGAAGAAATAGTCAATATTATTAATCTTTAAGGAAATGAAAATTAAAACCACAATGAAGTATCACTACATTCCCATCAGAAAGGCTAGAATTAAAAACCACCAGTGCTAACAAGAATGAAGAAAAAACTGGATCACTCACAATGATCCATTTCCATTGCTGACTGAAATGAAATAATCACTCTGAGAAACAGTATGACAATTTCTTTAAAAACTAAACATTCAAATGCCATACAACCAGCAACTGTGTTCCTGGACGTGAATGGTTAGAGCAGCTCTATTTCCAGTAGTCAAAACTGAACGCATGTGTCTTTCAGTGGGAAAATGCTTAACCAAAATGTAGTTTACCTAATACCACCACTGCTGAATGCTACTTAGCAATAAGAGAAATGAACTATTTATATATGCAACAATCTGGATGAATTGTCAAAGAAAAAAAGCCAATATTATAGGGTTACATACTATATGATTCCATTTATATAGCATTCTTGAAATGACGAAATTATAAAAATGGAGACTAGATGTAGTGGTTTCCAAAAGTTAAGGAGGAGTAGAGGAGGATGACCAACATGAGGTGCATACTGTGGTGATAGAAACCTTCTGTAGGGCACCTGGGTGGCTCAGTTGGTTAAGCAACTGCCTTCAGCTCAGGTCATGATCCTGGAATCCAAGGATCAAGTCCCGCATCAGGGTCTCTGCTCAGCAGGGAGTCTGCTTCTCCCTCTGACCCTCCCCCTTCTTATTTTCTCTCTCTCTCTCTCTCTCTCTCTCTCTCAGATAAATAAAAATCTTTTAAAGAAAAGAAAAGAAACAATCTATGTTTTGACTGTATCAATATCAATATCCTGGTTGTGATCGTGCACTGCAGTTTTGTGAGGTATTACCATGGGTGGAGGTGGGAGGTACTGAATACAGGGTGCATACAATCACTGTACTGTTTCTTAAAATTGCCTAGGAATCTATAATTATATCAAAACAAATAGTTTAAAAAATGATGTGGGAAAATTAATATGATCAGAGGGATAATTTCACTTGATATAATGATAACACTGAACATTATTAATTATTATTAAATATTCAAATATTACTTTATAATTTATTCTGGAATAACAGAACATACCCCTTGAATGTTCTCAATCACAACCATTCTCTGAGGGCTCATGTCTAAACACTAAGAATTTCAGCTCACCTTCCACGCTGTCAGAACAGGAAGTCCCAATGCCGGTGTCACCACTGTCAGAAGTTACACTATGTCTCCTGATATGATTATTTCGATGGTTAGATGTAACACTTGTGGCCTGCCACAATGATTCATTACCAGGTAACCATGCTGATGAAGAATAATCTGGTCCTACAAAGAAAAATATGCAAAAATTAGCACACTGAAAACGTCTACGAGTAGACAAAAGAGATCTTTTTTGAACTTAGAAAAAAAATACACATAAAAAGTTATTTTCTGCATCAAATAATTAAAATAGATCAATGATATCTAAGATTCATCAAATAAACTTACATACTGTACACCTAAAAATTCAATGCTGATTTCACAGCTTCCTCTACTAAAGGACCTGGATTTCTGCTCATAGGTTTTGAACACTGAAACACATACTGCTCTTATTTAAAACATCAAATCTATCTGTCTGTCTAGAAATGTCAGCACTCTGCTCTGGAATATCTGATATGCAGACATCTGTGATACCACACAGAGCAATCAGTTGAGAACTGGGGCCCAGGGAAAGCCTAATTGAATAATATTGCATAACAATTTAAGTGGAACATGCTAATGGAAAATAAATTTTTCTTCTGTATCCTAATCATTTAACATTTAAAATCATTTTTTATTTCTTTTATTTCTTTAGTTATGTTTTGATAAAAGATTAACACCATAGCATCATCATGACTTTTTCTCAATTTTCAATTTTCCCTTTTGAGTGATATTAAATCTTTTTTGGGCTAACATCACTTTTTAATGTTCTCCTGGTCTTTATTTTCAGTTATCTTGTCCACTTTTACTTAATTTTTATTTACCTTTTTCTGACATATCCATTTTACTTTTCTTCTTACTTCATTCTTAAATTTTTGTCCATTACAATGCCACACAAAGTATATCCAAGGAGGAATGCCAGTCTGTGAATCACTTATAACTAGTTCATAAAAGTTACAGTAATCTGAGGGGCTCCTGGGTGGCTCAGTCATTTGGGCATCTGCCTTCGGCTCAGGTCACAATCTCAGGGTCCTGGGAATCTGTCAGGCTCCTCACTCAGCTGGGAGTCGGCTTTTCTTTCTCCCTCTCCCTCCACCCCCATGCAGAGTGTGCACACATGCTTTCCTCTCTCAAATAAATAAATAAAATCTTTAAAAAGTTATGGTAATCTTAAAAAGCAATTTTAAATTTATTGAATTTTATATAAAAGCTATAGAAGCACATATCTTTATTAATGATGAACACAGTGATTCTCAAATTGGAGCCTGAAACTTATTTGTAGAACTTAACAAGTTCTACACAAGAATTTGGGGCTTTCATTCAATGACATCCTTAAAAAATTAATAAACATATTACAGGTGATCTGAATAGCTACCTTAAAACAGATTTATTATCAATAATTTCAATGCCCGCATTTGTGCTCTATGTTCACAAATGCAGCTGTTTCTAAGTAAAGAGCAAATAACGTATGGGGCATTTATCATCATGATATGAAACAAGACATCTGCACAGAATTACAAACTGACACACCATTGAAACTGCCATATAAGGAGTGCCTTTTAGCAGTCTTAGAAAAAATAAAGTTTTTAGATTTAAACGTAAGGATCACAAAATAATAAACATGTCCATAAAATGGATTAAATCATTTTGCCACAATTTTTGAAAAAGCCTCTCTGTATTTAATATTAAAAATCAAAATTCATAAACAGATTAATAAAACCAGAACTGAAGCTATTTTTTACCAATACTAATCCTAACATTAAAGATATTGTTTTAATAAAACACCATGCCATGTTAATACTAGTTTAAATTTCTATTTACATATAATTTATGAATTAAATTTGTTTTGGTTTTATACATATATAAGGTAAATAAGTAGCCTTAAAAACCATATACATTTAGGCGTGCCTAGGTGGCTCAGTCAGTTAAGCATCTGACTCTTGATTTTTGGCTCAGGTCATGAACTCAGGATTGTGAGATCAAGCCCCACATCCAGCTCAGTGCTGGGCATGAAACCTGCTTAAGATTCTTTCTCTCCCTCCCTACCCCCCCACCAACAAGTTCTCTCACTCTCTCTCTATCTCAGAAAACAAAACAAACAAACCTCCCAATAAAACATATACATTTAAACTAACTCAAAATTTTAAAATACTGACCAGAGAGACACACAGCCAGCTTTGATGTCCAGAACAACCACTTAAAACCCAATAGATTCTAGGCCTTTCTCAGAATAGGACTTACCTTAATTCATTTGATTAATCACTCACATATTAAAGCACCAAGTGAAAGTATTCTGTAACCAGGTCTGCTCTAACTCTGATCTATCCATAATCTATACCAAAATGTTTTCCTCAATCAGATCCTCAGGTATGGACAAATATTTCTTAAGAATATCCAGAAAATAGCATAAATAGGCTAGGAATACATGTAAATGACAAAGATACGAAAGAATGTCCAATCTTACTAATAGTGAGAGAAAGTAAAAGTGTTTAGACTTCTAACATTATAGTTGACCCTTGAACAACAATAGGTTTGAACTGAGTGCCTCCCCTATACACAGAATATTTTTAAGTAAACATATCAGAAAACTTTTTGGAAATTTGTGACAATATGAAAAAACTTGCAAATAAACCAACTAGCCTAGAGATACCAAAAAAAATTAAGAAAAAGGTTTGTCATGAGTGCACAAAACACTATAAATACTAGTCCTATTTTATCACTACCATAAAATACATACAAACCTATTATAAAAAGTTATAATTAATCAAAACTTACACAAACATTTCACACTGTACATGGTGCCATTTGAAGTTAAGAGAAATGTAAATAAACACAAAGATGTAGAAATAAATCATAATTACATAAAATTAACTATAGTACATACATACTGTACTAATGTTATAATTTTGTAGCCACCTCTCATTGCTATTATCCACTTAAAAATCCATATGATGCTAATCATCTCTAGTACATTGTGTATCACAGTAAAAAGCGATCTCTTGTGGTTCTTGCATATTTTTCATCATGTTGTGTTCAATAACATAAATCTCCAACACCATGAGACCCATACACAATGTCACTAGTGATGCTAGAAATGCTCCCAAGAAGCAAAAAAAAAAAAAAAAAAAAAAAAAAAAGCCAGGACATTAGAAAGAAAAAGTTGAATGCTTGATATATACTATAGTTTGAGGTCTGTACCTGTAGTTGCCTTCCATTTCTGAATAAATGAATCCAGCATAAAGATCATTGTTAAAAATGAAAAGGAAATTTGTGAAGCTGTTGCTGCAGCTACACAAGCAAGAGCAAAGACTTGAACTTTCTGTGAAATACCTTTTTATCTTGTACTGACAATACAGCTTTTATGTGGGTACAAGGTTGTGTAAGAATGGCATACCTAAAGATTAGTATGATTTGAGAAAAAGCAAAGTCATTACAGCACATGACAACTTAAAGCAAAAAGAAGGTGAACGATACAAAGCTGAAGAATTTAATGCCAGCACAGGATGGTTTGATAGTTTTTAGAAAGAAATTTGGCTTAAAAAAGGTCAAGATAACAGGAGAAACAGCTTCTGCCCACCAAGAGGCAGCAAAAGAATTCCCAGATGCCATTATGAAAATCGCTGATGAGAAAGGTATCTGCCTGTACAGGTTTTTAAAGGCAGACAAAAGGGTCTTACTCTGAAAGAAATGGCCACAAAAGATGTAATAGTAAGGAAGAGGAGTGAGCACCAAAACTTAATGCAGGAAGGGATGGGCTAACAGTTGCTCTGTGCAAATGCAGTCAGGTGTATGACCAGGACTGTCATTATCTAAAAAGCTTCTAACCCCCAGCTTTGAAGGAAAAAGGTAACTAACAACCAGCAGCCAGTCTTTTGGTTGCAAAACAAGAAGGCCTGAACAAGAACCCTTTTTCTAGACTGGTTCCATTGATGCTTTGTCCCTCAAGTCAGGAAGCAACTTGCCAGAAAAGGACTGCATTTTAAAGTGCTTTTGATATCTGACAAAGCCCCTGACCACCTAGAACCTTGTGAGTTCAGTACCAAAGATATCAAAGTGCCCCAATACAATGCCTCTAACTCAACCTCTGAATCAAGAGGTCATAAGGACCTTTAAGATTCATTTTGTATGGTTCCCTGTGGAAAGGATTATGAATGCCATGGAACAGAACCTCAATAGAGAGAACATCATGAAAGTTTGGGAAGGATTACACCACTCAAGATACCATCGTTATAGAAAAAGCTGTGAAAGCCATCAACCCAAAAACAATAAATTCCTGCTGGAGGAAACCGTGTCAAGATGTTGTGTATGACTTCACAGGATTTACAACAGAGCCAGCCAAAGGAATAATGGAAGAGATTGTGGAAATGGCAAAGTAGGTAGGAAATTGAGGCTTTCAAGATATGGATCTTGGAGAAATTCAAGAGCTAACAGATACAATCCCTGAGAAATGAACAGAAGATGACTTGGAGACGAGAGCTTCTGAACCAATGCCAGACAATGAGAGAGAAGACATAGAAGTAGTAGTGCCAGAAAACAAACTGACATTGAACAACCTGGCAGAAGGATTCTGATTACTCAAGACTGTTTTGACTTCTTTTACAACATGGGCTATTCCATGACACAAGCGCTAAAAACTAAAGAAAACAGCAGAAGAATGACTGGTACTACTTAGAAACATTTTTTGAGAAATGAGAAAGCCAAGAAGTCAGATAGAAATGATGATGTATTTATGTGAAGTTACACCCAGTGTGCTTCTCTGTACTACCTCCCCAACCACTTCCTCCACCTCTTCCACCTCTACCACTTGTAGGAAAGCAAGACCAACCCCCCTCCTTTTTCTCCTCCTCCTTAGCCTTCAACATGAAGACAAGGATAAAGACCTCTCTGATGATCTACCTCCACTTAATGAACAGTAAATAATCATCATGTGATATAGTTAATAAACTTACCTGCTGTATACATGTGTGACCGCATGAAAATCTAGTAATTGTACGGCAAGAAATGCATGAGATATTTTTGTGCCATTATCATAACTACCTAAATATTCACATGCAGAACATCCTGTAAAAAACCTGTATGGTAGTGGATAGCCTATCTTCACACAGGCATAAAATGAGTAATATTAAATATCAAATCAATAATGTGTT